AAAACAAAAATATTACCCAGATTTAGTTAAACAAACTTCAGGTGTAATCAATACAGAGATCCGATATCTTGGCAGATTCTACACTGAAACGCTACTTGATACTCGGAATTGCAAAATACATCTAGAGTGTAATGTCAAAGATACTCTGTGGAACAAAAGTCGGACTACGCGGGCTTCATCTCACAGCAGCTGAACTCATACGGAATTATTTACAATCAGTTGACCATCGTGAAGCTTTGCGTGCTAATTCTACTCAGGTGCAGACAGAGCTGCTGTGCCTCATAATAACAGAAGCTTCAGGTCCCGACGGACTATTTTCTGTCATCGTCAAGGAAAGTGCACCTTATTTGGTTGAGCCACTTTCCGATTTTTCAATCGTTGTTTTAATGAACAAAAACTGNTAGTGGAAATTCTCCGGGTTCCTTTTCAAAAACTGCTGATTGATGGAAACCCGCGCGCATCACAACAGTTCCAGAAAAGGAACCCGGAGAATTTCCACTAATCGCATGCACTTCCATTTTGATAAAAATGTTTGAAGAATTCATGTATAGTAACATCACTCTTAAAACTGAACAGTTAGATCACAGACAATTCGTTTAAAGCGAACAACGTTCTATCTTTGGCGCCATTACACACCTGGTAAATTCAGTTTTGCAATCAGACATGGTACTTCACTTCATGTGTGTTACCTTGACTACAGTAATGCCTGTGATTTTGCCGACAGGGACAGACTTTCAACTCCACTCCATGAAGCTGGATTTTCCAATACTAACCTTTATCTACTCCAAAATTATCTTGCTGTTAGAACCCACGGCAAGAAGCGTCTTGGAAAAATTTCTGTCTGGCTACCGGTCAGTTCAGGGGTGATAAGTTGAGCAATACTGTCCCCATTTATTTTCTCTTTCTATGCTCAAGACCTACCCACTGTCATAGATGATATTCTTATCACGTTTCTGTTAATATCACCATGGGTTCCATATTCCTGGGCGATTTCCGTTTCTCACGGCTTTATACCAATTTATCTACCCTAAGAATATGGTCTTCGTATTCCAAATTATCTATCAACTCTTCTAACTGTAGGTGTGTCATCTCACTAGCAAAAGAAGAACGGCTACATTCTTTTGGAAGGAATTGCTCTGTACTCTAGATTGACAACCAGTCCGTTCTCTCAGTACCTCGGGGTTATTACCCGTCAATAACTTACTTGAACTTCACATTGCAGTTCTACTTTTAAAATGATTCGAACATTGTGCTTCTTTATTTCCCGGTTGCGATCTTTAGAAGTTCCACAATATTGACTCACCCATTCTGTATATTCTTGTATTGTCACTCATCTTCTTTACTGCTCCCCAGTTTTATTTGCCGGTCTTAGAGTTACAGACTACGCCGGTCTGTTAAAATTGTTTCCCACACAAGCGATATGCCCTGTTTATAATTGATCAACTTTATCATCCACAAACATTTTACCCCTTGCGAAAGCTTCTGCAACAATATTCTATCAGACATCACTCAACCATTACGTACAGATCTTGAACAATGTTGATCCACCTCCGTATCCCGGTGTTGTTATAAATTTGTGCATACTCGTAACCTTGTCTACTGTTTGTCCGTTATCCCTTATCTATCTAGATTTTTGGCATAGAAAGCATCCGTCAGAAACAACGTTTTGAAAATCCCAGTTAACTGATGTCCATCTTCACGCCAACTTCCTCTAGAATTTACAATGCTGTATTTTATATTTTCTCGTTATGACTGTATGCGGTGATCAATGACCCGTGTGTGTAAGCAACTGAAAATCCATCCATTTGGATGAACAACGCAATTGGTGACTTGATTTGACTTGAACGTTCCATCAGCTGACGCCATATGCCACTTCGGGTGTGTTTAATGCGGAAGAACTGAAAGCCGAATTGGGATCAAGTCACACAGTAGGGGTCTGGCAACCAGAACCTAATTTGCTGTCATGAACTAAGTATACAAGACCGTAAGCCATGTTGAACACAGGTCCTCGAATAAAATGTGCAACCAGTATTACTGATGGGATGATTTTCTCAGTGAGAATGTGAGAACATGCTCAAGTTGAATCAAGCCAGTACATGGAAGTGAAACTTTCATGAACTGAAGTTAAACGAAGAATTTAACGGTAAAATAGATCACGACCAATGTTCAGTTAAGTTATACAGCTTTCCAGTCAATGGGCTGAGTAAATTAGCTATCTCGAATGAAACTCAGCAGCCTTGTGTGTGTACAGTGTATCTGATGAAGTTTCCCGTTCATTTTATCAGCCACATGAGAATATTTCGGTTTTAAGCAAGGCTGGCAACATATTGCAACATATTGCAGGATTTGGTTAGCAGATTTTTACAATCTACGTTCCCCGCCCGAATCCCGATGAGAGTACCTCTGGCGCAAAAATAGCTAAAATATGGCCCCTCTATTACTTCGAAGCATGCATGCCTCGAACAAGNCGAATTGTATGGTTGAACGTCGCTGACACTAGAACTCTAGAACTCTTCTATACCCTACATCCTCGGACCACTAACTCTGCTGTTTGCAGACAATGCCAAAATATGGAGGACAATAACAAAACCAGAAGATTCATTTGATCTCCAGAACGCCCTTGACGAAGCCCACAGATGGTCTGTCTCCAATGACATAGAATTCAACGTTACCGAATGTAAAGTCTTATCACTAGGTCACAGTGGTAGTTTTTCTTACCCTCTTGGACACGAAACTTTGCCTCATGCTCCATCCGAGAAGGATCTTGGAGCAGTCATTCGTAGAGACTTGAGTTGCTCCACAAACTATTGCAGAGCATCATCCATGGGAGTAGAACAAGTTGGACTACTTAAAATTATTTTTGGATCGTTTGAGCCGGCTTTGTTTCCACGTCTGTTAGCAACATATATCCGTCCATACACCGAGCACTCAATTCAGGCCCGGAACCCATGACTGCAGAGAGATCGGAAGGCGCTCGAACATCCGCAGAGAATGGCTACCAAGATGGTCAAAGGTCTATGGCTATTGGGGATATACTCGTCTCAATATCGTCCAATCAGAGATGAAATGATCTTACTGTATCGGATTTTCCAACACCCCAACCATCCATGTAGACATCTATTGGTACTATCAACCAATGTTCATCTCAGAGGGTATCCACTGAAGTTGGCACTCCAAAGGAGCCGTCTCGACGCCTTCGTTCGCAGATAGAGTGTGAAGCACATGGAACTCTCTACCACCTCACTTGGTTTGTGCCCCGACATTAGTGTCTTTCAAGCGTCAGCTTCATGATGCTTTGGCAAACATTATGTTTCAACACCCAGCTACATAATATATTCTCCTGTGCTCGTCAAAATATTACAGTACTATTTTGCTTACATGGACTATTTGTGATCTTGTGAATCGTGTTCCGAAACAACGAGTAAATATCCGACGGGATTTGATAGACGAAGTCTTTGTAAGTTGTTCCCATAATAAAAATATTTGAATTTGAATTTGCGTTCACTTCACCACGTCGCCTGTTTTACAAGATCTATTTCCAGATGGTTTTCATTCTCTTTGGCGTTCCTCTGTCGTGCACTGGTTTTTGTCCACTGCAGCCTATATGGATATCAAAATCAATTGTAACTTTCGAGGGAGCTTGTAAACATTCTTTGCCGGTGCATGTTTGGAGCGATTCTGTGTACGGCATTACCAGTGTACGTCCGATTATTCGCTGATGGAAACATAACCCAGAGCGGAAAGCACTGAAATATATAATCGCAGGCACCAAGCTGTTTATGTTATTCTTTTTAATGCGAAACTTCAAGATTGACTGAGTTGACTGACTATCCTTCGGACTTCATCTTCACGAACAATCCTCAGTTCATCGATTCAACCACACACTAGCACTAGACTCGAGTTTCGCTCTTAGTGCATATCCACCGTCCTGTCCAGGATTTGAATATCACTGAAGACAACACCTGAACAAACATGAACGGGCAATTTGGTTCAGCCACGGTATATGCTGGTTGGCACAGTGGTAACACACGTCTTACATACGATGGGTCCGGAGTTCAGGTCCCGGACGGGACGGCGGATATGCACTACTGATGAGCTGTATTAAGAGCGAAGCTCGAGTCTAGTGCTTCCGAGTGTATGGTTGAATCGATCAACTGATGATTGTTCGTGAAGATGAAGGTGAAGTCCGGAGAATAGTCAGTCAGATCAATCAATACCAATTATCCCACACACACTATTCACAAGTAACTGTGAGTCAAATTCGAACTTCAAGATTGGTTGCTCCCTCTTCCCACACTGAAAAAAATGACCAAAGTAGATAATGGATGCATCAGTTATGTATAATTTTCAGGCCAATAACGCGTTCGCACTCGTCGAAAATGAATACGGTGTTGATTTGGAGTTCGGCTGGGGTGTTAGATAGGAGATAGACGGGGTGAACCTTGTATTTTGGAGTGGTTGAAAGTGAATAGGTTGGAGCCCACTGGGGGCGGGTGAAGATTGCGGAGAGGGAGTGGAACAAAGGATAAGTTGAAATATACTAATATATATATATTAGCCGTATCTAGCAGAGACAGGGAGAGCTTAGATAACTGAAAGTGTGTGTGTATGCTGTTATGTATGCTTGTGTGAGAGAGAGAACACAGTCTATGTACACAAAAACTGAAACAACTCGATCCGGATGTGCAACAGACGATGCTCGCGCGCGCATATACACACACACGTGTCGTTTCGTCCTAGCACGCGGTTTGTGTGCCGGGGCATGTGTGCGTGTGAATTCATTTTGGGGAAACCGGATAATCGAAAACAGCTGAGAATAAAGCTCAGATGAAACTGTGACTGAATAGTCACAAAAGTCAAAAATTATCTCATTCGGATCTTGTGAAATCTGGGACAGAAAGAAAGTCTTGCGCACGACTGCCGGTTATGTTTTTTTCGCCACCCCAAATTTGAACTCTTCGGGATTGCATGAAGTGAGAATAGCAGTAATGAACCAAATATCATACTGTAGTCATTGTGATCAAATCTGATGCCTGGCCGGAGTGGACCGGGCCGGGGGCCTTTGATGTTTGTCCAGGCTGGTGTGGACGAGCATTATTGGGTGCGACCACTGCAGTCTGTCGTTTTTTCCTCTCAGCCCGAGCCTTTTCCAACTGTTTTCTTCGCTCCGTGCGATTCCAGTAACGTCCGACCTTTAATTCACTTGTTGCGTCATCGTCGGTTGTCAACCCGGAGCGCTCTTCAGCCACCCGACGAGCTCTTTCTTTAAGTAATCGGTTTCTGAATTTTGAGGGAGTGAGAAAAGTGCAAACCGAATTAAGCTTAAAGATACACAGGAAGTAGTAATACTTGGTTTGCAGCCCAAATAGCTCAAGAAGGTCGGGAAAACAATGAAACTGAAAACGCTCCCTGAAAAGCAAACACAGAGAGAGAGTGAGCTACTTAAGTTCGAAAGTGCTTGAAGTCTAATACACGGAGAGTTAGCTGAAGAATTTTTTTGGGGAGCTAAGGTAAATATGCACTAATCTTTTGGGCTTTGACGGCGTTCACTCCGGCTTAATGTTTACGGTCAATTCTTATAACATTGAATGGAAAACTGCCCCGATATTCCTTCTATCTACTGTCGATTACTGGATTTTAATTATCTACTAATTGTTAGTCATCGATCACATAGCTGAGAGGCAATAGGTTTTTTGACTTGCAGCTCAAACTACGCTTGCTCGAGATCCTACAGGAACACAACAACCGTATGCATAGGCGGTAAGTCCCAATCAATACAAAACAGCTGTCGGTCCTCCTTCACACGGTTGGACACTAAAGTGGAAACTTAATCATTCATAGTGAAGTAGGTTAACAGCAGTATTAAACACAGCGAGCACTCATTTTATAAGGCCTGAGCTGTGCACTCCACAGAAGTCACGTTCAAGCCTATCAAGTCCCTGGTCTGAAAACTGACCATCCAGAATGCGAGTGTGTTGACCAGATCACATTCCTACCAGCAATGGGAAACCTCCTAGACTGTAACTTCACTCTCATTAGAGTTCATCAGTAGTACATATCCTTAAGTGGGTATAAGCACCTGAATCTGAACGGAGTGCGTTGCGTACTATGGCTCCTTAGGAAATATTCACCCTAAGGAAGGCATGTGAACAAAACTGAAACGGCTAAGATGATCAGCCTGTGTATTTGCTCCTCCGTACGGTAGCAAATATATTTCTTTTGTGTGATGGCAAATGGGACAAAACGCTTACCTTCCACTGAAAATAGAACAGGTGTATTACAGTTTTTGATTGGACATTCCACTCCGTTTTCCCCTACGAATATTTTTCTTATTCATATTTTACTACTCATGAGTAGTAAACTGTATATAGTATAGTCCCACAATTAGTTCAGAAATTCCAGTGGACAAATAGCAGGTGAATGGTAAAAATGAAATTGAAATAGATGAATGTTAAAAATTTGGCGGCACATATATCTACATTGATTCCGAGTTTCTGAGGCGATTTTCCCGGTCAAGATCGTGAAAACAATTTGTCCGTTTTGAATCCAAGATTCTCTTACAATTCGATGTGGATAAGTGTGGCTCACAGGTACTATTTGCCTCGAGAATGAAAAATCTTGTGCAAAATAAACTACTAGGCAGTCTTTGATGTTTATTTTGCATGCTGTGGTAGTTATCAACTTGTTTCTGCCTACGTATGAGTATTTTGAGTGCGGTTCTAAAAATCTAAACTATATTGTTTCAAAGTAACTTATGTGTTTTCGAGTTGGGGTTATGATTTTGGGGAACGTTACTGAACTGTAAACTGGAAAATGTCACTTGACAACGTTTTGATGTCTTCATAACTTTACCCACTTGCACTACTAAGCACAATGAATGATACCATCCATCGGATATCTAGGTGACCATCAGTTGTGCAAGAACCACAGTATTAATTAAACTTACAGTCATTGGTGTGCTCTAAATTCTAAAGTTGGATATTTGAACTCGGCCACCACCATCCCTTCGCAATTATAGTTAGATTTGATTCCTTTGGGTGGGAAATGTATTTCGATCTTTACAACATTTGCTTGGTACTTACGATGTTGCCTAGCATGGTTAAAAATTTGTCCCCTTGTCTATCTGGCTCACTCCTCATGCAGTTAAAAAAACTGTAATAAACTATTCAAAATATGAATCTCCTACTTACCTGATTGGACGGCGTGTGATATAACGACTTCCATCCGGTCGCTTTTTGACGACCCATTCCATCACATTGGTTGCTCCTGTGGGTTCATCACGGGAACAGGGTATTCGCATCTGTGGGTGAGGATTTTGTGCCGATGTGTAGAGAGGCATTTGAGAATAATGATAACCTAAATCGAATCGATCAAACGCATGCAGGAGAGAAGTATACTGAGCACTTCCACCGGGACCCACAAACCCGGATGGAGTGGCAACAGGAGGGCCGGATAATTGGAAAAAATGAGGATCTTGTCGGAACCAGTCAATGGGTTGCATTTGTGTATAATCGTGTCTTTGATCGGAACCACCGGGCTTGTTCCCGTTCGCTCCCACTGATTCTGGCCGACAGGGAGCCTTTGTATCCGTCGGTCTGGTCTGCTTGGGATCTCCGTTCACAGTACCAGGTTCTTCACTCACAGTAACTGAAGCGTAAGGCGTTTCGTAGATGTCAGAAGCTTCACGTTCTTCCGTCTGAAACGAGTGAACACACAGTTGAATGAAAGAATTTTCACATTCTTAGTTTACCTACTGACAAAATTTAAGTAACCTTATGATGGACTCCTTTCTTTTGAACTCCCAATGGTAATCACGAATGAACAACTCCGTTCCTTTCTACGTACACCCCGGTACAACGGAATCGTATAATCAAAGACTTCTCGAGGAAACATGTATAAAATAGGATGCACAAACCTCTCTGTTTCAAAACGTTACGCATTTTTTGGCATTCCAATATGTTTAGATTGTTGTTTCGCTGAGCCTCGTAGCTCAGCTGGTAGAGCGCTCGTTGTACAAAACCTCATAGGCAGCGTCCATGAGTGGGTTCAAATCCCATCGAGACTACTGAACTTTTCACAATCGACATCAAACTTCCAGTATGTAACATTCGTAATGGTATCTCTGTTGTCATTGTGACATTCCATTGATTTGATATCATGACAGGATAACCACGTTTTAGCTGAATGCGATTTGTGAAATACCGCATTGTTTTGTTGGCAAATCGCTCCCATAGAATCAACAAGGGTAATTTCCGGGAGAAGATATTGATCAAACGTACGGATATTCGGAAACTGAAACTCGCACCTTGCCACGCAACATGGCGGTTATCTTAGACATTCGTCAAAAATGCACGTCAAACAACCGCGCTAAATTTCTGTTGGTAACCTATTCGTTGAAGTACTGTTCTTCTTTGCGCCCCTTATGTCAATATCAATTCCGGAATTCCAACCCATCTCAGTCAAACTTTGTTCATCGATAAGGTATAAAAAGTTCACTTATTTTCCTTTTTGTAATGTGGTTTTGTTGATAACAGACGTTGTTCAATTTGTAACCTCGATAGAGTTATGCGACTTCTCATCCCACTGTATTTAATCCAAGAAATCGTTATGACCGTTCATTACACGAGTGCAACTGAAAAATGTAACCCGAATTCCTGTTTTCATCACGGATGTGTAAATCAAGTCGCTGGCGTATCAACCAATGTCTGGTTTTCTTTGAGAGCTGTTTTATATCCAACCCGTCCCCCCCTCCCATTTCGAACTTCCGTTATTCTCGCCTCAAATCCCATGAACCCGGATCACCTGCATCAGTGATCCATTTCACATGAGGTTCCTGATACTCAAACAAAATGTATTGATTCTTGGTTTGCCAATGTTGTCAAGTCTGGTCTAGCGCAACATAAACAAACTTTCCACGTCAAGATCGCTGCGTTTAGCCTTTTCACATCACTACTGTCCTTTTTGCATTACATGAACTTGGGTCAGATTGTTTTGTTCGAGAAAAACTGCTCATCTTCACTAACGTTTGCGTGGAAGTTACATCCTTCAATGGGCGGGTTTCCGAGAGTAGAGTATAAGGGACTGTAACACGCCGCAATTAGTGTACTTTTGGTCTATTTTCATTAAAACAAACAAATAACATATTTGATATGTGGTATTGCGGTTTTGCTTCTGAATATATGTCGCACTGGTTAAACTGATAATGCTCGTGTATGCACGATTGGGGAAAAATAGGCAAAAACTAGGTATGTGTTCAACCATTTTGTCACGGAATCCATGTATCATTTACCGAGGACTCCGAATTTTTGTTGCTACGTGTGTAATCACATGCGGAGGGATAGACGAATACGGTCATCCCAATAGAGAGACCACAATTGTAACAGGGCAAAGCATATGGTGGGAGGTAGCCGAAAACTCCATTGCCGAACAACGTGGCTAGAAGTAAATTTATTCGGGATAAAAAATAATCACCGATCTGCTTTCTCCAAGACCCATTCGGACCCAGACAAAAACAGGTTTGTGTGTCTGTGTGTGTTTGTGTTTACCAGTGAGTGCTAAAGAGGCACTGAGTTGAACACAGTTTGTGCTACAGTAAAATTGGTACAAATCAGCTCTACCAGGTGTATGTAACCGTTTGTAGACAACAGAGTTCTTCCAAACCAGCAGGTTGCGCAGCAGTAACGACGTTCTGAGGACAAGGAACCACAGACAAAAATGAACCCACCCGCCCAGGGTAAACAATTTAATATGGAAACTCAAAGGGAAACTTTAACCACCCATTTTGTATTTCGTTAGAATCGAGAGAAGACAAATACTGCGAGATCGTAACATTTATTTGAATCTCTTCAGTCGCTACAACGTAAACCAATGTGGCAAGCAAGTTTTGATAACTACAGTGTTTGCACTGAGAACATACGTTTTGAATTTGAAGGAACAACGCACGAACAAATTAAAGATGAAGCAATTGGCAGTAGTCCCCACGACCCAACCTTAGCTAATGTATTTCTAGCAATGGTTGAAACACGACTGAACGGTAATATTTCAATGACAGTTTTGTACAAACATTATGTTGATGCTATTTTGATTTTTACCGACTCTGATCACTTTAACACACACTATTTTAACACACTATTTATTACTATTCATCCCAATCACTCTGTTTGCCTTGAGGAGCAAAAGAATGATTGTTTGAAGTTTTTAGATATAAAAATTAGGAGGCTATCAGATGGATGGAACCTTACAAAGATCCGTCTACCGGAAGAGTACATGGAGTGGGCAATACTTACAATTTGCCAGTTTCGTTCCTGTGGCTCACAAAAGAGGTCTGGTGAAGACTCTGTTCCATCGTGCCAAGAATATTTCCTCCCCCGATACTATCCAAGAAAAAGAAACCTTTCTAAGAAGGACGCTACTGGACAATGATTATCCAGAGAAATTTATGGATGTGCATATCAGACGAAAGACACCGGTTGATCCTGTCTGCGAAGTACCGAAGAAGAACGTCTTCCTCAGACTCACCTTTAAAGATGATCATATAATGAACGACATGCGTCAAAAGCTCAAGGCGACATTGTGTCGAACGTTTTCTGCCGCATAACCTCAATTGATACCCAAGGACTTCGTTTAGACAACCGAAAAAAGAACCAGCCGAATAATTCTGCTTCACATATTGTCTACCAGTTCACCTGTAGTTGCGAGGACACATCGGATGTCTTTCTTATTTTTTTTATTACACACTTAATTGTGTTGAACAGCGAACCCCATAGTCACGAGGACCTGAAATTCAGTGATGGTAGCCGGCATCCTAAGCCCCGGGACTTGGAGTGGCGGACCACTTAAGGCCCTGATAAGTTAGGCGCGATATTGAACCGGACGACAGCAGAGCTGCCTACCACCAAAGTCCGGTGGTCTGAACACGTTCCCCAGTGGTTGGTACGAGCGATGACGCAACAAAGTCTTACAGGTCAAACTGAGAAGAGAAATCCAGGGTCATCAATCGCAAAAACACATCATGGCAACTGGACACATCGTTGACCCTCAAATGTCGTTCAAGCCGTTATTACATAACATGAAACCCGGGATTTTGGCGTTTAGTGATGTGATGCCAATCAAGTTACGTAACCCAATCTTGTGCGCACAAAAGTTCTTTACACAATCAGTCAGATTGCCATGGCCCTGATTTCCCACCCCACCCTCTGCCCCGCTTCCCTGACAATTGTCCGTTTTATCACTGTAATTATCAAAACTTGCTTGGAGAAGTACCAGATTGTTTTACGTTGTAACGACTGAAGAGATTAAAATAAATGTTAACATCTTGCAGTGTTTGTCTTCTCTCGGTTCTGACAAATTGGATAACGGGGACTTAATGTTTCAACATTCTGTATTTGACGGTAACTGCGCGAAAAAAATAAGTCATTCGTGAATTAAATCAAAGGTGAAACTCCGGAAGCGTAATTTTCACGATTCTGGTGAAAATCTTTTGGTTTTCCAATGTATATAATTGCATTTTTCAACTTCTAATGAATTAAGTGTGTTTCAGAGTTTGGGACAACAAAACAACGTCAAATCACTGGATATCACCTGGTTACCCATGAAGCATATCGCTTAACTGACGTTGAATGTCATACTATATCAATTCCTATTGAGCATTGCTTTAGGAGTATAGAAACAATACGTACGTACTGAGCCACCCTGAGCATTCATTGGCTATTTCCAATGATATGATCACCACCACAATGGGGCATTGTTCATCTTGAATTGGACGCCTATTCTAACCTATCCAGTTATGTTTGTTGAGTGTTAATATGACACGAACGTCTGGGCATCATATTAGCATAGTCCTCTATGAGATCTGTTTACGCAAATGCTTCCAATAGATCCATCAGGTAACGGTTTACTCGCTCATCGCATGGTCCCCCCCCCCATCCCGCCCCCATCCTCGTCCAAATGGCCTACTCTAATGTACCAGATAAGAGAACTGGGATTAATCGTTTCCTCCAACGTGAAAATTGACTGAACAATCTACCTATTCAGTAAGAGGAAGTTTACGACATAATATTGTTATTACCAAGAAGCCAAATCGATAGCACTAATCAGCTTACAGGGTGTGCGCTGTACAAAAGCACGGGCGACATCCATGCCTGGGTTTGAATCCCAACCCATGTGCCTTCAGTGTAAACTTCAAACGAGCATAAACTAAACCAAACAACATAATTGAATAGATCTTAATACTAGGACGTAGCGAGGTCACCAAATTCCAGTCCAGCTGCCTAATTTCATCCAGTCGTTTAAGACTTAATTACAATATTCTCCTTAGTCAACTGTGTCTGCAATGTTCTTCCGTTACCATTCATTGGGTATTATTATTAATTTTTTCTTATCCCATCAAAACTCAAAGAAATCATTTATGAGCTCAGAAAATTGCAGAAATTTTTGGTTTGCATCATCATATCAATCATGAGTGAACGCACATTGTCCCGTGTGGCATCCTACTTCTCTGAAGCTGCTTTTTCATATGCTACATACACCTTTTCCTCTTTTCATTATTACTTCCTTTTATTGAATACACACTGACACAGTTTTCAGGAAGAGGGAAGCAGCCAACTCAACTGTCATACAACACACAAATGGGGAAAAGTCAGGCGGCGCTGGTGGTGAAATTCGAACACTCGTCCTCCGGGGTGATAATTTGGGTGACGTTACCACCGGGACACCACCACTGATGTTCGGAATTCAGGTGACAGACAACAGTCTGAATTTCTGTCCCATGTGCTCAGTACGCTTAGCTCTATTGCTTGAACTAGCACAGAACAGCAAACTTAGTATTACTGAGAGGTTCGATATATAGCCAACAATTTATTGATTGATTGATTTGGCGAATTAAAATAAAGTAAATAATAGAACTAACGGAACATTACTGAATATCAACAAATCCATAACTGTAGAATGTACTTGCGGTGCCTTATTATAAGTAGTATACGATTGACTGGACAAAATTTCCCGGAAGCATATCACCGGGTTAGTAATGCTTAATGCGGGTCAGATATATCTCTACCGTACTGATCTCTCATACTTATAGTGAAAATGAAAATTTCATCACGTTATATTAGCTTGCATCTCAGGGACTAACTAAGATTAGCCTATGGTACGTTCTTTACAGTTTGAAATTAACTACTCCTAATAGTAAAACTGGTTTTAGTTGCTTTTTTCTGACAACTAAAATACTGAGCACAGAATGGCAGAGTTTATTGTCTCATTCAATTTGATGTTCGGGTAATTAGAGTCTTTTAGATGCTTAAAGATTTGTCATTGTCCTGATAGAACTTTCACAGGTGAATATGTGTGTACACAGCTGAAGAGATAAAGCGAAACAGTTGAATTCAACCCGATTCCCTGGGATGATGCTTGTTCTCGCTCTCGTGATATTCCCAAATGGATGTATGAAATGAGATGTTCGACTGATTGAGCTTATCACCACGACTGTCCGAGGGCCCTGGCAAGCTTTTGACAAACGATCTTGACTGCGGTACACCGTTTTTTCCACCGTATACTAAACTGGATTATTCTATTGTGGTTTTTGTGCATTCAGCTGGATCTATCTTAATCAGTAATGTCTCAAAAAAGAGAGGCTACCAAGAATATGTGCGTATCCTGCTCCAGGATTGTGTACCCTAGGACCCAAGCACTCCGTTGTGATGGATGGCCACACCTGAAATGCTCCCAAATCGACGCGGACAAATACGAGTGGTTAGAGAAATGTCTCTCTCTATTCCTGAAGATTGTGTGCTGAAGGTGCTCGGTCATTATTTCTAAGGAAAGCGAGACTTCACTTCCGAAAAATCTCCAGCTCCCACTACGCTGGCTACAGTGGTGAACATTGCCCCTTCGCATGCGGATGTCACTGCCAGTCCACCTACCAAAGCAGCTCCTGCAGCCGCACCGCGGTGACAGCCGAAAAAAGAGCAGTGCTATGGTCTGCTACATCGCCCTCAAGGACAGACTCAGCTCCTTAGTCCACGACATCCAGGCAAGATGCGTGTAACCAGTCACGGACAATTGAGAGGTTCCCCCGCGGTTAGCAGGAACCTATGCAGCAATGAAAACTCCTTCCGAGATCGCAGTGCATCATTGTTATCAATCTTCCGGAGGCTGAGGCCAACACCACCCAGGCTCGATTGGGCTGCGACTTGCAGCTGCTGCTGTCGCACATGGCTACCTTGTTTGCAGACGACGAGGTGGAAACAGAAGCATCAATCAGAATAAAAGCGGCTTTCCGGCCTGGAAACCCTCGCCAGGATAATTCTCCATGGCCACTGAAAGTGGTTCTTTGGGCAGAAGGCGAGGCCAAAGCGATACTCCAGCGGACCCGCAATTTGAAGGGAACTCCGGTGCGGTTCCTCAGGGATCTTGATACGGAACAGCACAGTAAACTGAAAACTGCACTGGAGGAACTCAGGGAGCGCCGAGCAAAAGGGGAAACTGATCACTTTATACGGGATTTTCGTATACATCACCCTCAGCTGCGTTGGCTACCTTTGGTCGGGGGAGAACTCAGGAGACTGTTTAACCACGGACCAGGGGATCAGGCTGAGGAGCTAATGGCGAAGTAATCATGCTGTGCTAACTTCAACCAATATCCGAGGGATGCTGGAAAAAACATGATGAGTTGGAGGACTGGTTTGTATCAAATAATCTCGATCTTTTTGCAATCACTGAGACCTGGCTGACACCGGATGTCCGGGACTCCGAAATATCACCCCATGGTTATACAGTGTTACGAACTGATCGATCATCGTCACGTCGCAGTGGTGGAGTTGTTCTTTTTGTCCGCTTGGGTCCTCCTGGTCGAGTGCTGGAGAACTACGCCCATCCGGAAGGATTTGGAGAAGCCCTGTGCTGCAGAATCAAGCTTAGTGCCGGAGGAGACACCACAGTAAGAATGATCTACTGCACACCGGCGATGTACATCCTGGAGCTGTTAGCCAGCCTGCAGATGTATACCTGCGATTGGCATTGTCTTGTCTTGGGTGATTTTAATGCGTCACATATTATATGGGAAATTAACATCTGCTCTCAGCACGCGGATTTGTTTATCCGAGAGTTTCTTTTTGCTGTCCGGGCTCTCGCGCTTGAACAGTATGTTCTTGTGTCCACGCGGATAGTTGGGGATCACAAATCCATCCTTGACTTGGTGCTCTAGCCAAGGCAATCAGATAGGGCCAGGATTGACCTCCTTCCACCAATTTCATCTAGTGATCACTCCATTCTGCGTATACACTGGAGGTGTGGCGTACCCCAAACGGACAGATCACAGGACGTACGGAATGTGTGGCGCTCATCCTTTCCGGAAATGCGCCAGGCTGCATCGCTTATAAATTGGAATTCCCGAAACACAGATGATGTAAATGGATCCTGGGAGTTGGTCCGTCATGGAATTCATCACCTCGTACAGGAATTCCCCCCCACCCCACCGCCACCGAATACGAGCTATGGGCCTGCCGCGGTTTGACCGAGAACTGCGGGCGTGCCTCCGGCAGCGGAATAAAGCCTGGTCCAAGTACCGTGCAACAGGATATGAGGAATCATTGTACTGCACTGAAAAAATGCTAGAGAACCAGATTCGAGGAACGACTTGCAGCGGATTCTGTACAGGCACCAAAGCGATTGTATCCCTACCTCAGACGAAGAATCAGAGCAACGTCTGGTCTCCCGACTCTCGCCAAAAACGAGGCAATCGCTGAAAATGATGAGGACAAAGCGAAGATGTTGGCATCACATTACGCCTCAGTGTTCATCTCAGACTCCAGCACATTGGCACATCCACTGGGCACTGACCATGCCCTAAGCTGGACTCCATTTACCATCGGAGAGGTGACCCTGGAGCTGCGTCGGTTAAAGGTTCACCAGTCACCTGGACCTGAGGGTGTGCATCCGCTGATCCTGAGAAAGCTGGTGGATGAACTTGCAGTGCTACTGTGCAATCTGTTCAATTTGTCAATCACTCAAGGGCGTTTACCGCGGCAGTGGAAGGATGCTGTCATTGTTCCACTACCCAAAGGTGGGGATAAGAGTGATTCTGGAAACTACCGACCAGTCAGCCTTACTAGTGTTGTGGATAAAGTAATGGAACGTATGGTGGCTGCACGGCTTCGGCAGCATTTGGTGTGTCACGGTCACCTGTGCCACCACAAACACGGTTTCCGGTAGGGTCGCTCATGCATCTCAAACCTGCTACTGGCCCGTGCATGCTGGACCGAGGACAAGGCCGAGGGATACGAAACGGACATCATCTTCGTGAACTTCAACAAGGCCTTCGACAAGGTGCCACTCGACCGCCTTCTGCGAAATCTGTCCAACTTAGGTGTAGGTGTGGTCATACAGAATTGGCCGCGAGACTTCCTCATCGACCGGAAATTGTGCGTCCATGTTGGCAAATCGCTATCTGCGTGGTATTCCGCTCCAAGTGTGGTCCCTCAAGGCTCGGTTCTTGGTCTATTGCTCTTTGTGGTTTATGTGAACTACCTTCCCGGCCAACTGTGCAGTCCATCCCTCATGTATTTAGATGAAATCAAAATCTGGCTGCGGCGGATCGGAAAACTCTTCAAGCGGATTTGAACAACCTGGTTCAGCGGGCGGACACCTGGGCTCTTCCAGGCAACATAACAAAGTCTGCTTACCTGCACTTGGGGCGTGCTTACTCAGAGGTAGTCTACAACTTCCAAAGAACCACATTAAGCAGAACATCGTGCGAATGAGACCTGGGAATTATGGTCACGTCACCACTAAAGGCCCGAGAAAGCACCGGTCGGGTCTATGCCTGCGCGTGGAGCATTCTGGGGCCTATTCAGCAATCTTACAATCGGCTCACAATGAATGCTTTCAGACTGCTGTACGCTTCCCATGTCAGACCAAGACTTGAGTATGGTGGTGCGGAGACATACCCCCAAACCGCCGGTGAACTGGATAAGTTGGAGCGTGTACAACGTGCTGACACTAGACTCGTTGTTGGACTACGCGGGACCAGCTATGAAGGTCGTCTACCGGCTACTGGTCTGTTCCTAGTTGTGTACCAGTGCCTCAGGGGAGATCTTATCTGTCTAAGGAAGATCCTGAGAGGTGATATGGGCCAGGAGCTACAACAGTACTTCGTTTTACGCACAGAGGATCGCACGCGGGGACACTCTCACGTTGCGGAAACTTCGTTCAGTTGGTCTTTTGTTAGTCTACCGACTCTCGCGGAGGTCAACGACACTCTGGAATTCCCTTCCAGCCATTGTGGTGGAGGAGAAGACAAACGCTGCTTTCAAACGCCGTTTGGATGAGCATCTGAAGGAACGAACACTTGTGATCGGACCTTCAACCCAGTCAGTGGTGATCGAGCTTACACGGGTGCCCTGCCCTCTGCCCTCAATCTTGAAGACTGCAGATTGAATCATATTCTTTTCCTTCCATTTCATTAAATAGCCATCAGCTGAGTCAATTTTTTACGAACAGCCGGGGGTGGGGCACTATTGTAATGCCTATCTGCATCGTGTGACCAACGAGGGGGTTATGCAGTTGCTGAGAGATATCGATGTTTGCGAGCTACCGACTTCGAAATTGTCAATCATCAGCCCTTCCCCACGTCGTGGTCGTCAATTGAGAACAGGTACTGCTTAGTTAAAAAAATATCCTTGATCAAATTCGAATAATTTAGCTGGGTTTTGTGATGGCTTCGTTTCAAACCGGTTCTATTCTGCAGAGGGCTTTGTGAGAAGAAAGGTTATTTAGGGAGACTAAGCAAATGCAACACAAACCGATCTGTGCGTGCTTGCGCGCGCGCGCGAGCGCGCGCGCAAGCACACACACACAACCAGTCATTTACCATCAAGTATTGCTTGGACCTCTTAGAAGCGAATATCACCACCGAATAAGGGAATTTTAGGATCGTAAACCAAAACAAACAGTCGGGAATCACAATCCACCCCAATCCGGTTCATTGGACCAAATATGTTATCATAATATGTCCGTTTCTTGATGCTTCAATAGGGTATATCAAAGTTATTAGTTATCTCCCCACCATAGAGAGTATAAGCTGCAGACAGATCGGGGTGGGGGTGAGGGGGGGGGCGGAGTTGGGATGGGATGGGAGCAAACTAGGCTATCAGTGAGAGCTGTTCGACGTCTGGTAAAGGTAGCTCAAACCAATATACAGGGATATACAAGCAGTGGCAAAAGACCAGGTGCGAACGGTATGAAACGATTGATATCAGATTCATGCCGATCATTTGTCTATCAGAGGCCGGTTTCAATTTTCCAGACCCATATGCATCGTGAATCGGTTAGTCATACAGATTAGGGAGTGGCACAGATTTGACAGTGTACGGGAAGAACTGGTCGGCTTGCAACTAACCAAACCGGACACGGAAGGAAACAGCGAACAGGCTACCGGATCGGCCGGTCGGTCATGCGTGCCACATCTGGTGAGAAGCCGTTCAGTTTGGTGATTATGTGCAAGAAAGTGTGTGTTTGTGCGTTATCGTTACTCCGGACTGGTCTGCCTCACTGGTTGGTCGCCGTCGTTGTCGTCGTCTGTAGCGGCGGCGGCGGACCACCGATTGCAAGCTAGATTGTCCAGTTCACTCTAACCGCGGCCTATGAACTATTCTCGGGGTCTGTGTAAATCAATGGGCTTAGTTGGTGGGATGATGATGATGATGATGTGCGACGACGCGGTGCAGCGCGCCTTACATTTTGCAGGTGACATTTGAACGATAGAATCCGAGTTGCAGAATTTAAGAGATCTGGGTGGCGTGTTTTGTCTACACCCCCCTGCCCCTTTCCACTCACCCCGAAATGGGGTGGGATTGTGGAGCAGATGGGTAATGGCCAAGTGGATGCACACGAGCGCGCGCACAATATGTGGATACAAATGCCGACGGTCGGGTCGACAGGCCGTCGTCGGCCAAAGAGTTAGGTTGGGCGGAGTCATACGACGGGCTGTCTGATTAATGGCCCCGGAGACAGGTCAGGCTCGTGGCCAGGAGTTTAGACAAATACGTGGATAAGGGAGTGGCCGTAGAGTATTCAGTGACCGTGGGGGAAACGAAAGTCGGTTAGTAAGTCCGGTTTGTCGGATGACTCATAATTCAGGTTGGAGAATGTTGAACTTGTGCCCACATTGTACTGACAGTAGTCCCTACTGTGTATACTACATTTTGTATTCAAGTACTCACTACAGTCTTGTTTTTCAGACTACGGATATCTGAGTACTCAATTTTTCAAACTTGTTGTTACCAAATTGGGCACGTTAGTGAAACAGTGTCCCCGGATCGTAACATACCAGAAATTCGCTCGGACGGAATTTTCGGTTCCAACAAGCAAACCAACGACAAATTATTATAATTATAATTATAATTATAATTATAATTATAATTATTATTATTAGGCATGCTCACCAGCAGCATTGACGGCAACACCATCAGCATCACTGGCGCTCTCGCCAATTTGGATGTTCTAAGTCGGAAGACAACATCAGAATCACCAAAATGAACCCTGGAAACAGTGGCTACTTTCCCAATTGTTCGGGTACTGCATAAACACCAGCTTATCAATAAGAATAGACAACAATAATGGAGATATGCATCTATTCATAAGTCCATCAAAATCCGTGCAAGTTACCCGTGGATAATAACAATCTCTTTGCGTAGAGAACGAGGTGGTTACCCACATTTGTAAATGGCGACAACGTGACCGGTTTCCTGTCGTTGAACAGTTTCTGAGATGAAAATATGAAACTATTCAAGCCAACAAGTGAGATACAATTTGAGTTCGGTGTGAAGTATTACGATTGTTTGATGGATTCGCTCGATTTTTATCTCCCTGGTATCAAATATGATCATATCCCACCATCTTTACAGTATTTAGAACTGAGAAGCTTTTGATTAGAGAGTTAACCGTTAGCCAGTTGTGTGCTTCCGCTGTGTCAAGAGCCAATGAAGCCTTAAAGTGAAAAGTTAGGAAGCATGATACATCATCTATCAGTCGTCAACCGAAAATTGTTGTTTTTGGTTTTCTCTCGTTGTGGCTAATCCAAACATTCCTGTACGGATCTGATACTATGAGCACAACGTACCATTTCTTCAAAGATTTCCATTCCAACTTTGGATGTGATACCTTGAAAATCTATCAGTTTTGACCTAAAATGTTAGAGTTCGTGGTTTGCTTGCCTATCTACTTTTGAGGCCTCAGGGCTATCATGGAAGACGACTTCTGACTGGCAATCACCATTTAGACCCGATGTGAGCTGCTCAGCTCATTGGTAGCGTACACACACACACACACACACACTCACACACACA